TGGATGGATGGATGGGTGTGTGGGTGGTTGGATTTGTGGGTTGGTGGGTGGATGGATGGATGGGTGGGTGGGTGGTTGGATTTGTGGGTTGGTGGGTGGATGGATGGATGGGTGGGTGTATGGATGGATTGATGGATGAATGGGTTGGTTGGTGGGTGGATGGATGGGTGGGTGGGTGGGTGGATGGATGGATGGGTGGGTGGATGGATGGATGGATGGATGGATGGATGGATGGATGGGTGGGTGGGTGGATGGATGGATGGATGGATGGGTGGGTGGGTGGATGGATGGGTGGGTGGATGGATGGATGGATGGGTGGGTAGGTGGGTGGATGGATGGATGGATGGATGGATGGATGGATGGATGGATGGATGGGTGGGTGGATGGGTGGGTGGGTGGGTGGATGGGTGGGTGGGTGGATGGATGGATGGATCCTTTGATTCTTGGATTCTTTGGTCCTTCAGTGTTTAATCGTTATCAGTCGAGGGAATTTAGAACTTTTATTGACATTTTGAGATGATTTGATATTATTTTTTTTTTTTCCCAAAATTTTATTTTTATTGTTTTTATTATTTTGAGCTGCTTTGGTTTAAAACGTTTTCAGTTCACCTTCATTTTCTGCTGCAGATACTTAAACCAACAGGAATTAGTATTAAAATTATTTCCAATGTTATAATGAATGAAATTATTTTACTTTAATTTGCTCAAAATACTCAGAATTTTTCAACATTCAACAGCCGAGTATTCAAAAATAAAACCAGCTGTTTTATTTAAAAGAGGAAATGTTGTAATAAAATATTAGTAGCCCTCCCTACTTCTGACATTTTCTTCAAGCAAAAACAAACGAGCGAGTTCATTTAAATTAACAGTTTTTAAAACTTTTATGTTGCAGTTCTTCATTCAAGGTGAAAAAATATAAAAGTTTTGTTGGGTCTGTAATTTCTGTTAATTTGAAAATACGTAAATAAGTGTGAAATCCATTTTCGTTTAAATGAATTTTCTCCTGGGATTCAGTAGGAAGTGGATTGTGATCTACTGAGCCACAGAAGACTCTGGTCGGAGTTATAAAGTGTTTTTGAGTCATTGTTTTTATTTCACCTCCAGGAAACGGGAGATGTGTTACGTGTGTCGAAAAGCCGTTGCTCTGAGAGAATACAGCCGACACACGGAGCTCTGCTTACAAAGCCACTCTTCCAGACCCGTAAGCTGAAAATCTCAGCAGCAGGAAGTCATCAGAGGAGAGATTATTAGGATTAACTTTTTTATAAACTCTGTGACTTTACAGAAGGGAAATCTGCTCATGGCTCTGGCACAAACTGAGAACAGAGATTCAGGTAAGTCGTTTTATTTTTATTCTATTATTATTATTATTATTATTTTAAGCACAAAACGTATACAGAAGTTGTTTTAACGCAGTGGAGCTTTAAAGTTTGTGAACCATTTTTAATTTTCTATATTTCTGCATCAAAATGATCTAAAACATCATCACATTTTCACACAAGTCCTAAAAGTAGATGAAGAGAACCCGTTTAACAAACGAGACAAAAATATTATACTGGGTCATTTATTTAATGAGGGAAATGATCCAGTATTACACATCTGTGAGTGGTAGAAGTATGTGAACCTCTAGGATTAACGGTTAATTTGAAGGTGAAATTAGAGTCAGGTGTTTTGAATGAATGGATGATGATCAGGTGCGAGTGATCACTTGATTTAAAGAACTGGATCTATCAAAGTCTTCACATGTTGATGGATCATGGAGGAACAAAGCAGATTCTGAGGAGCTCAGAAAAACAGTCGTTGATGCTCCTCAGGCTGGAAAAGGTTACAAAACATCTGTAAAGAGTTTGGACTCCACCGATCAGACAGAGTGTGGACAAATGGAGGAGGACATCGTTCCCTCCCCAGGAGTGGTGGACCAACAAAGATCACTCCAAGAGCAAGATGTGTGATGGTCAGCGAGGTCCAGGGTAACTTCTAACAACTGAAGGTCCCTCACATTACTGTTGATGTTCATGAGTCCACCATCAGGAGAACTGTTGTGGATTGTCCTGCTTTAAGTTGTCTCCACACAGAAACAGGTGAAGTTAAAGATGTCTTCAAACATGCTCTTTGAATTTGTTTATTGCAGTAAACAATAACTGGGCTGTTTATGTTCTCCGTTCTGTTTAGGTTAGTTGTACCAGTTAGACAAGATATCAATGTATTTGTTCTTTTTTGATGAAACACGGAGATGCATGATTATTTCAATACACTCTGAACATCGTCTTTTTCCACTGTGAAGACAGACGCATAAGAAGTTTATATTTAAGGTAAAGTACAAAAGTTCTCTTTAACAAGAACACGACGGTGTCATGGCAGGGTGGAAGGAGGAAGACGCTGCTCTCCAGAAAGAACATGGCTGCTCATCTAACGTTTGTTGAAGATCACGTGGACGATCCAGAAGTCTACTGGAAGAATGTTTTGTGGACGGATGAGACCACAAAATAACTTTTTGCTTTAAATGAAAAGAGTTATATTTGGAGAAAAACCTCTATTCCTGCAGAAGAACCTGATCCCGTCTGTGAAACATGGTGGTGGTAGTATCATGGTTTGGGCCTGTTTTGCTGCGTCTGTGCCAGGATGACTTGATGGAGCAATGAATTCTGAATTATTTCAGACTTCTAAAGGAAAATGTCAGAACATCTGTCCATGAACTGAATCTGAAGAGAAGGTGGCTCATGCAGCGAGACAGTGACCCTCAGCACACAAGTGGTTCTACCAAAGAACGGTTCAAGAAGAATGAAGTTCATGTTTTGGAACGGCCAAGTCAAAGTCCTGACCTTAATCCAGTCCAGATGTTGTGGAAGGACCTGAAGTGAGCGGTTAATGTGAGGAAACCACCAACATCCAGAGTTGAAGCTGTTCTGTACGGAGGAATGGGATAAAACTTACTGGAAACGTTTAGTTGAAGTTCTTGATGCACCTGATACTGAAAGTAGACGTTCACGTACTTTTGCCACTCGCAAATCTTTAATATTGGATCATTTTCCTCAATAAATAAATAAATGACCCAGTATAATATTTTTGTCTCGTTTGTTAAACTGGGTTCTCTTTATCTACTTTTAGGACTTGTGTGAAAATCTGAAGTTTTAGATCATTTTGATGCAGAAATATAGAAAATTCTGAAGCGTTCACAAACTTTCAAGCTCCACTGTAAGTTAATAAACTCGTGAAGCTGAAAATTAGACTAACCTACACTGCAGTACAGTTTACATGTTTGAAAAGGATTAGAATAACGTGCACACTTCTCAAAATCTCCCCTTCTCCATGTTTCATCAGTATCTATCAGCTTGTTCATTAATATAAACCGTCCTTTTATTTCAACTGTCAACTTATTTCTAAATGCACAGAATCTACACATGATGCCAAACAAACGTCTTCATGTCTGTACAACTCAACTTCACAACCACAACTCAGACTTTTGTTACTTCCTTGTTGTTTGTTGTTTTATCTGAAAATCATCAGTTTTCGTGGCGTCAGCACGTTTGATTAAATGTAGTCTCTGATTTTACAGATGCTGGCCCATCTGGATCTAAAGTCCAGCCAGAGTAAGGAAACACCTGTGTTTATCTCATATTATGGTATTTCTGATCAGGTTTTTACCAGAGCTTCTGTTAGTAGATCATCCAACAGCTCTTTGGGAGTTGAAGTTCAAATACACATTTTCTGTTAAGCTGTTATTTTTAAGAATCTGCATTTTACATAAAGTCTGTGAAATATATTTGAGGGATTTCTCAGCAGGAATTTAACAGTTTCTGTGTTTCCGGAGTGTTGAATTCTCCAGATACACATTTATAATCTCCCTCGTGACTGTTTTCCATGTGTTGGTGCTCAGAGCTGTCATAGATCTCCGTGACGATGACGACGATGATGAGGCAGCTTCAGCCTTCAGGATCAGCGACTCTCCCATCAGGTCCTTCACTTCCATCTCTGAAGCTACTGGGTGCCTCATCGACTTCAAAAAACAACATCGACCCAAGAAGCCAGGCCAGCGGCGAAGATGACGACTACATGATGAAGAATGACTGAAAATCCTGAAACCCAGAGCCTTAAAAACTGAAATCTGAAAAGTCGTCGGGTTGGACAGGTCATCATTCGACACGTCGTCCAGAGGTCACCTTTTACTAAGTGAGCACTTGAACGGTGAACATGTTCTGAGAGGGTTTGCTGTTGAAGCCGCTCGTGGGACTACCTCCTCCTGCATCCAGTCATTCCCCTCAACTTACTGTAGCTTTGCTCCTGAACTCGGATCAAACGTCTGATCGAGAGAACGCATCGGTTCTGAAAAACAACGTTACACTGCGACCAATTCAGATATTTTTTTTAACGCGACTGTAATGCCCCCTGGTTTTCAAATAAGACGGGATTGTTTGATTAAAGGTAATTAAGCAGGAAATTAAAAGGTGAGAATTTATTTTAATGTTGAGCGTTACGTTTTAATTGGAAACAAATCCCGGTAAATGGTCATGAATTAAAATCAGTGTTTCACACAGAATGATTGCTACGCTCTCTTCTTCAATCAGATGTAATGCCTAAAAAATCTGGAAACACTGATGAGTTCACGTGTTACTTAAACAGAATACTCCAAAAAAACAAGTGGTTCAATAAAGATTAAAGGAATTTAGTAAAAGTTTAAAATGTTGCATGTTCATGACAGTACTTTTTGGTTAATTTTATTGAAAATAAAGTAAAAAGTACACATAATTCAAAGAAAAAATTTGAGTGAGTATCAGGACACCTGAAGAGTTGTGAATTTTAAGAGTACAAGAATGTTTACCTGCTTAGAAGTAAAATGTAAAGAAATTTTATTTTATTTTTGCCTCCTGCCATTGTTAACCATAAAATAAACACATTGGCTACAAAAATCATCTTCCAGACATGATCGCTATAAATGTTCTGAGTTTTCTAAGCCCATAATCGTTCTTAATCAGAACTGCTCCCCATCCTTTCCACTTCCACCAGTTCCCAGGTTTCCTTTAAACACAATCACCAAAAGTTCACATCATCTTTGGTCTAAACACTGAAACGCCAGAAGCTACAGCAGAAAATTGTATAAAACCATTTCCTTTTTTCTTCCCATTTCTGTTAGAAGACGAGTGATTGAGGTGGCGGTGAGTCAGAAGAAAGTGTTTAAATGTGCCTAAAAAGTTCAAGTTGGAACAAGATCTTTGTATAAACAAATCAGTTCGTTTCTCTCTGGAGGGTCCGGGGGAGACGGTCGTCCCCCACCCGCCCTTAAATTTTGAGATTGAGACTGGAACGGTTTCTTCTAGGTCATAAAGTTAATTTTCCCTGATTGAGGTTCAGAGCGGCACAGCTGGTCGACATGCTGCCTCAGCGAGCAGGTCCCTGGTTCAAATCCGGGTCTGGGGACCTGTCTGGGTGGAGTTTGCATGTTCTGTCCGTGCGTGCGTGGGTTTTCTCTGGGTTCTCCAGTTTCCTCCCACAGAACAAAAACATGCATGTTGGACTGACTGGTAACTCTAAATTGTCCCTAGATGAGAGAGAGAGTGAATGGTTGTTTGTCTCTGTGTCTCTAATGGACTGGAGACATGTCCAGGTGTCCCGCCTCCTGCACAGTGATGGCTGGACATGGGCACCAGCGACCCCCATGACCCAAAATGGAAGAAGTGGGTAAAGATGATGGATGGATGGATGGATGGATTCAGTTAGTGATGGGTTGTTTGAGGCTGAAGCTGTGATTTAAAAGTACAGTCGGAGCTCGTTTCATTTGCTGAAAGTCACACGATCAGTGTTTTCTTCGGAAGAGCTGAGTCTGCATCACTGCTTCGGTGCCTGATTCAAAGGTTCATGAGAAAGTGAATCATTGGTGGAGTTCATGGTGGGTTTGGGTGGCAATGTACAGAATCTAAACCAGTGAGTGACAAAGCAAAGCATGGAGTCAGCCAACAAGGGTTTTCTGTGTTTAGCTCAACAGCACCTCTACCACAAGAAAAAAAAAATACATGTACATAAATTATATGATGTCACAGTAAACAAACTGGTCAATCAAAGTCATGGGGGCTGGGAACTTGCAGCACAAGCCTAATGCCAAACTGGTTTGGTGGTGTAAAATAAAAATCTGTTACATTCACAAATGTCAAGAAGTCACGAGCAAAGGTGCCATGGTATACGTTTTTAACAAGTTTATTCATTAAAGTTGTTTATTCATGAAATGGTAAATGGACTGTACTTGTATAACACGATGGGGTAGAGGTAGGGCAGCTGACTTGGACCAGAAAGTCGCGGTTCGACTCCCAGCCTTTCCTACATGTCGAGGTGTCCTTGAGCAAGACACCCAATCCCTAATTGCTCCACGGGTGTTTACATAGCTGCCCACTGCTCCACCTGGCTGTATATCAGGTGTGATGGTTAATGCAGAGAACTAATTTTACCATTGTATGATACAGTAACATACAATGATGACGATCTCAGACTTCCCTTCAATCTAACCATGAAACTCGGTGCTTTAAATCACAATCTGTGTCCTCGTACATCACTCTACTACATCAAAGATCTGAATCTGTAGACACAGATCACATTCACACACCGATGAGACACATCAGAGGCAATGAGGGGTTCAGTGTCTTGCCCAGGGACACTTCAACATGTGACGGCTGGTGGAATCGAACCACCAACTCTCCCACTGGAGGGCAATCGCTCCAACCACTCAGCCACAGCCGCCCCAAATGTGAAATAACCATAACTTTATTTTACCCACAAAAATTCTTGTTCAAAGCGCCACAATGACGTCCTGTTGTTAGAAATGTGGCATGAAGTTTAACAACAGCTGTCGACTCCATGGAATGGGGAACCAGGAAGAAGAAGTTAATTTCAGGTTGTAAAGACGCTCTTTACAGGTGCAGCTCATAAAATTAGACTATCATGAAAAAGTTGATCTATTTAATTCAGTAATTCCATTAAAAAAGTGAAACTTGTATATTATGCAAGTGTATGAATGTATAAATGAATATATTCATTCATTACACACAGACTGATCTATTTCAAATGTTTATTTATTTTAATGTTGATTATAACGGACAACTAATGAAAACCCCAAATTCAATATCTCTGAAAATTAGAATATTGTGAAAAGGTTCAATATTGAAGTCACCTGGTGCCACACCCTAATCAACTAATTAACTCAAAACACCTGCAAAGGCATTTAAATGGTTTCTCAGTCTAGTTCTGTAGCTACACAATCATGGACTGCTGACTTGACAGTCGTCCAAAAGACGACCATTGACACCTTGCACAAGGAGGGCAAGACACAGAAGGTCATTGCTAAAGACGCTGGCTGTTCATAGAGCTCTGTGTCCAAGCACATTGAGAGGTGAAGGGAAAGAAAAGATGTGGTAGAAAAAAGTACACGCAATAGGGATAACTGCACCCTAGAGAGGATTGTGAAATAAAACCCATTCCAAAATGTGAGGGAGATTCACAAAGACTGGACTGTGCTTCAAGAACCACCACACACAGATGTATGCAAGACATGCGTTTCAGCGGTCGCATTCCTTGTGTCAAGCCACTCTTGAACAAGAGACAGCGTCAGGCGTGTCTTGCCTGGGCTCTCATAACATCAGAGCAGTGCCACAGACTGATCGACTCCATGCCACGCCGCATTGCTGCAGTAATGCATGTGATGTATGAATGGGTAAATGAAGGCACCAATTGTACTTTGAGTATATCAATAAGAGAAAGGCAGTATATAAGTACAGTCCATTTACCATTTGTCTAACTGATGCCAGTCATTAGGATATGCTGTGGTATATCATGGGGTGTTGAGAAAATGTCACCAGGTTCTGTAAATGCTATTGGTGCACAATAGGACAATCCTCCCTTAGTTTGGTCAGTCTTGGGTGACTGGAACTTTCACAGTCTATGTGAATGCCCCATTACTACTCTACTCGTGCTGCCACTACCGGTACTTATGCCCTCTGGATCCCATTCTAGAAGTGTAAGCTCATTGCAAATTAAATCATGTAAATACTCACTGCTGGTGTCTGTATCCAAATTGGTTGGCTAAAAAGGTGCAATATACAGTGGACACCCCCTGGTCTCCTTCATTCTTTGTCTGGTTCAGCTGGAGTGCTTGGTGACCTAATAGGAAGACACCATGTAATAAAGCATTGCTGTCCATTTTGGATTATTTACCTTCTGAAGATGTTTTGTCTTCAATACAGCCAGAGATCGAAGAGAAAGAAGCATCAGAGCTCAAAGCTCCTATTTATGCCCTGAAACATTTAGGTGTCCAAAGAAATTCTTATCAATCAGATCAGACAAGGATTTCTCAGTGGTTTCTTGTAACCTCTCTTTGTCTCTCAAGAGTACTTTGTAGAGGGTCTACCATAGTCTCAGATGATCTCCCAACAAACTTAATGGTTTCTGCAAGGAGGCATGACTGCTGTTATTCTCTTTATGGGTGCTGCTGATCGCTCAGGTCTCCTTAGACATCTATGAAAATTGCAGAAAATTGAATTTTTGGTCCCTCAAGTGGTCATGGATCTCCCTGGTATTTTTAAGCAAACAACATTTTGGAAGGCTTTGTGGACTGTTCATAGAGTTCACCAAATTATAGTTGCTGTATGGTTACCCAATGGTCATCCTGTGAAAAGAGGCCCTAAACCTTTCTTTGATGCAAAAAGCTTGAATAAATTGGAAGATGTTCTCGTCTTAACCATGTCGACCACTTTGAAGATAAAATATAAAAAAGGGGTGAGAGTGTTTCTCATACCAAGGAAGCCTGAAGATGGTGGATTCTTCTGAATGGGCTCAGCCATGTTGTCCTGTATTAGCTGCCAGAGCTGCCAGCCAAATCGAGGATGCAGGATGTAGAAAGGCTGCTTCGGGTGACGCTTCTTGTAATTTAGATAGTGGGGGAAGATGGAATACTCTGTCTGCTTATATCACTGTAAAAAACAAAACAAAGATAGAGCATGTGTAGAAATGCAGTCTATTTTGAATGTACGCACACTAATCCAACCTTTACCGGAATGAGGTTTGAAGAAAAGGGGGCAGGGTCCCATGCCACAAGAACCCCTGAGTTGTACAAAGAACTGTACAAGTTGTGTTTATGCGTTACCAACACCTGGAAAACAAGAAAAGACACTAGAACAATTGGCACAACAATTTCAGGTAACTTGACAATATTTGCTTAACTTGGTTGATTTGACATTTCAGATAATGTCAAAACCACCAATAAATCTTGAGACAAATATTCCCAAACTATCGCAAATTCCATCCGTCCATCCATTTTCTTACGCTTATCTGGGGTCGGGTCGCGGGGGTAGCAGTTTAAGTAGGGAGGCCCAGACTTCCCTCTCCCAAGCCACTTGGGCCAGCTCCTCCGGGGGAATCCCAAGGCGCTCCCAGACCAGCTAGTCCCTCCAGCGTGTCCTGGGTCTTCCTCTGGGTCTCCTCCCTATTGCAAATTATTTTGTCCAAATGGGGGTGGCATGGTGGTGCAGTTAGTAGACCTGCCACCTTTCATTAAGAAAGTTGCAGGATCACATCTTGGCCTGGGACCATTCTGCAAAGTTCTGTTCTCTCTGTACTTTTGTACTTTCTCCAGGTATTGCAGTTTCCTCTTACAGCCCCAAAACATACGTTGGGTTCTTTATTAACTCTAAATTGTCTCTAGGTGTGAATGTGCATGGTTGTCTCGTTTCTCTCTATGTGGCCTTGTGATGGACTTGCGAGCTGCCCAGTGTGTCCCACGGTCCACTCTTGTACAGTGGCTGCTGGAGATAGACACCATCGGCATCACAACCCAAAAATAATTCATGAGATGAGATAATTTAAATAGTGTCATTTATTAAGTACTGGAGCCAAACACTAACTCAGTAGAGTCCAGTCTTGGTAGCTCCACGGTGCTGGAAATACTGTGAGAAAATTCTCGATTATGAACCCAACATTTTTCAGTCAGGTCATCTGGACAGTTTCTTTTTTTGTGCTGAAAAGTTTCGCCTTCGATCCAGAAACGTTTCAGCACAAAAAAAATAAAAATAAACTGTCCAGATGACCTGACTGAAAAATGTTGGATTGTATACCTGGATTATTGAGCATGGACTTTGTTGGTTTTGAACCAGTTTGACATGACTGTTGACAAGGGAGAGGGCCGGCACTGGAGGAGGGGGCGTGCCAAAGAGACCATCTTAGCACCAACATAACTGGTTTGTTCCACTTTGGAGTAATCTGTTGGGGGAAGAATCAGTTTTGTGTTGTGTGTTTCCTTGACTGATGAAGCCTTCTGGATGGAAGGTGAAATGTTTCAGCACAAGAAAAAATAAAAAGAAACCGTCTGGATGACCTGACCGAAAATTTTTGGGTCGCTAATCAACGTTTAGTGTTTTATAAGGCCTTTGCTTGTCTGGGATAATGCTATAGGTATAGATTTATTTTTATACTTTATATTTTTTGCTATTTTTGGGTGTAACTGGGACCCCAAGTACATAATTTCGTTCACCTCATGCACCACATGTGATGTATTGACAATAAAGGTACTTGAACTTGAACTTTTTAAACTTTTTAATTTTTTATAGTACTTTATATGTTGTCTGTCTAAAACAGGTCTCTCTTGTAAATGGTTCCTCGTGACTCCATGAGACTAACCTGGATAAATAAAGGTTGAATGAATGAATGAGTATGTAGCAGCTCCTGAGCAAAAATAGTACATGTGTTATTGCATATGCTGCTGATCTCATGCTGCTGATTAATTTCATGCTGCTGTGTTCATTCATACTCCTCTGCTCACACAGACTCATGTTCGTGCTGCTGTTGCTTGGCGTATTGTTTTTGCATTATTAAGTGTTTAGAGTATTCTTAGTTTAGCTTATATCTTAGATCTTATTACTGTTTTCCTTTAAAATGTATACTTTTGTTGGATGTAACTGGGACCTTGTGTGCACAGTTTAGTTCCACCACATGTACCACATGTGATGTGAATGACAATAAAGAAACCGTGACCTTGACATATAGGGCGGACATCAATTTATTTCTTAAATTTTAATATTAATCTTAATTTTCACAGCTGTCACTCATCATTTTGATTAGGTCAGACACTCTGCAAACTTTACAATGTATTAAAAAAAATTGAGAAGAACCACCCACTCATTCATTCCCCCCCCCCCCCCCCCCCTCCCATCCCATCACTCCAAGTACAGGTACTAGTATTGTACTTGTACTGGCAGGGGTATCCATGTAAATAATGTACTTGTAGATGTCACACTGGTACATTTTCATCTATACTGTAAATCCCTCCTTGGTCTTCTGCCTTCTTATATCTCCTCCTACATGCCATGTCGTCAGTGCAGCTACAGCGTGCACTCTCAGGTCATCATTACCTGCAGCGTCCCCTCAGTGCGGACTGAACTTGGAAAAAAGGTATTTTCTTACTCTGCAACAAGATCTGAAGGTGTCCACCTTAATTTATTTAAGGGATTTTCAACACTTGATAAGGTCATAAGAAAAATCAAAGCAAACATGTTCTTGTTTTTAGTATTTTACCTGGTTTTATAAGGCATCTTGATTTCACCGTTTTTATAACGACTTTAATTTTATTTTCAATTGCATTATGTTGAATTATTGTTGTCTGTACTTTATACGTTGTCTGGCTAAAACAGGTCTCTGTTGAAAATGAGTCCTCGTGACTCAATGAAACTAGCCTGTATAAATAAAGGTTGAATGAAAAACTACTAGGATGTAACAGTACTAGTACAAGTGTTATATTTGTACTGACACTGGTCCAATATATACTACAGCTCTGTATGTACCGGGTATGTAGAGCTCGTAGAGCCCTTTGTCTGGTAAAATCTGCCTTGCAGCGTTTGTGCACTCACTGTCTTCAAACGTCTGTGAATGTTTAAAAATCATTCACTCTGTTGAGATTCTTTTCTTCTGTACGTTTTTCGGCACGTAACTCGTTCTGCATTTTTAGTGCTATTTCAGCTGTTCATACATAAAAACGTTCGGCTTATTCAATACACTCCTGCTATGAATTTGGTTATTTGTGCTTATTTGAAACATTTAGCTGTGTATATGTTTGTAACGTTGAAAATGGATGATCTCTTCTTTACATCCTTCAAACCCTTTGAAATCGTTTCCTGCTCATTTCAGCTGTTGTTCTGGATCAGCTTCCTTCGGCTTTTTTATGCTGGTTTCTGCTTCCTTTAGCTGCTTTCAGCTTCTTTCTGCCAATTTCAGCTTTTTATGTTCCTTTCAGCTTATTTCTACTAAATCCAGTTTTCTTCTGCTATTTCAGGTATTTTAAAAGTATTTTTATGCTAACTTTAGTCTTTTATCTGCAATTGTTTATAGCTAATTTTGGCCTTTTTTGCTCTTTATAATAATCTCACCCTTTTAAGCTCCTTTCAGCCTTTTTCCTGCTAATTTCAGATTTTATTTTATTTTAGGTCTTCAGCTACTTTTTGCTAAATTAAACTTTTTTCACCTCATTTAATTTTTCTTGCTAATTGTATGTCTTTTTTAATCTATTCAGCCTCTCTTTTCATGTTTTCAGCGTATGTTGCTAATTTCTGCTCTTTTCAGAATTTTTTTACACATTTCTGCTGTTTTTCTGCTACTTTCTTCTTTTATTTTCCTACTTTCAACAAATGTCAGCTGTTCAAAGTCATCCCACATTAATGATTTAGTAACTCACCATTTTCAGCTTGGTTTCAGCTTCTTCAGCAGCTTTCAGCTAAAATCATTCAGCAATAAGCATTCAGACTGCACTTTCACATGAAATGTAATTTATCTTGTTCTAAATTACTCTCTTGGGGGCAAGGCCACTCTTACATTACAAATAAGAGAAATTGACTTCAAATTTGAAGGAAACAAACGTTTTCTTCCCACTCTGATTGTTTATCGGCCATTTTCGAGTATCAACAGCACAGAGAGCATCTTGGGCACTGGCACTACCTACTGCTCCTATAGACGCCCTCACAGGTTCCACATCCTGAGATCTGCCACCATTTCAACAAGTGGCCAATTATAAAACTTTTTTTTTTTTTCCTGTAATGGTTTAGTGGGTTGAGAAGGTGCAGACATAAAATAAATACTGAACATAATTTTTAAATTAATTTATGCCAAATATTTTAAATATTTCTAACAATTAAAGTAAAAAATATACCTAAAAATTAATTTTAAATAAAAGCTGAAATCTGGAGACTTTCTAAGAACCCCCACCTGATGTTTCAGAACCCACAGACCCCAACTGAGTAAACCACTGTAGAAACGTCAAGCACATCAGTCCTCATATTGAGTCGCTCCATCAGTGTTGCAGTTTATCTTGCTGAACCCGGGAAGCGTGACGCGTCCGTCCATGTAGATTTCACGGTCAGAGCCCAGGTTCATGCGTTTGACCAGGTTCTTCTCGTACATCAAGGGGTGGTAAGAGCCGACCGTGCAGGCTTCACTGTAAAGCTGCTCGTAGTAGTGACAGAGATTTGTCCTTCTGTGGGACGGCAGGAACTCGTAGACGTGCACCACCTCGCACAGAGACATCATGAGGACAATTCCTGCACGAGAAAATAGGATTTGCAATATACGTTTTCCAAAATAAGAATTATTATACACAGAAGTTTAAAGATGAGTTCAAAGAAATGAGAAATGAAATGGCCAATGCTCAAGATGGGAGACTGTGACAAAGTGAAGATTCGACACAATCTGCTGGCTTCCTTAGATAAATAACTTTTACTAACTGGCTTTGTTAATGTGTGTGAATGTTTCTGTTCAGTGCCCTGAGACGACTTTGGTTGTGACGTGGTGCAATATAAATAAAGTGAATTGAATTGAATTGAATTTGGGTCGAGGGTGAGGTTCTGCCTCAAGTGGAGGCGTTCAAGTATCTCGGGGTTTTGTTCACGAGTGAGGGAAGAATGGAGCGTAAGATTGACAGACGGATTGGTGTAGTGTCTGCAGTATTGTGGACTCTGTGCCGGTCTGTTGTGGTGAAGAGAGAGCTGAGCTGGAAGGCAAAGCTCTCCGTTTACCGGCCAGTCTATGTTCCTCCCCTCACCTATGGCCATGAACTCTGGGTAGTGACAGAAAGAATGAGACTGTGGATACAGGTGGTTGAAATGAGTTTCCTCTGCAGGGTAGCTGGACTCTCCCTCTAAGGGTGAGAAGTTCAGTTATCAGGAGACACTCGGACTAGAACCGCTGCCCTTCCACATCGAGAGGAGCCAGTTGAGGTGGTTCGGGCATTTGATAAGGATGCTCCCTGTGTGCCTGACTAGGAAGGTGCTTCAGGCATGTCCAACTGGGAGGAGACCCCGGGGAAGACCCAGAATACACTTGAGTGACGTCTCTCGGTTGTCCTGGGAACACCTTGGAGTCCTCCCAGAAAGGCTGGATGAGGTGGCTGTTGTAAGAGATGGCTGGACCTCCCTGTTCAAGCTGCTGCCCCCGAGACCCGTCTCCGGAACAAGCAGAAGATAATAGATGGATGAACTGAATTAAAATTTGAGTAATTTTTTAACTCATTTGTTTCTTTTGATCCGTTGGTTTGGAGTTTAAAGGCTTGGAACATAAAACATAGATTTGGTAGTAGAGAATTATTTTGATTCGAGTCAAACTGCACTCATTAACCTTTTCTTTGTAGCTATTGTGCAGACAACTCTGAGGACAGGTTATACCGTTAGCAGGAAGTGGTAAAACAGCTGTTTTTTTCCTCATACCAAGGAAGCCAGAAGAGGGTGGATTCTTCTGAATGGGCTCATCCATGTTGTCCTGTATTAGCTGCCAGAGCTGCCAGCCAAAGCGAGGATGCAGGATGTAGAAAGGCTGCTTCGAGTGAAGCTTCTTGTATTTTTGATACTGAAGGAAGATGGGATACTCCGTATGGTTGTACCACTGCAAATAAAAAAGCATGTGTAGGAAAGTGTCAAACTGTACACTGGATATCACATGTAACTACAGCAGCCGAAGACATGTTTGGAATGAAGAGATGCATTAAAACAACATAAGTTTTTTTGTTTTTTTTTAACTAATAAAATGTTAAAACACTAAAACTAAACCAAAAGCAATATGTCTCTATGCCTTGTTTATGCTCGTTAAAAAAAAGAAGAAAGTAAAGTCAAATAGTTCCTGCATAAAAACATAAATATTACCTGAGTTAGGTTTGAAGAAAAAGGGGCGGGGTCCCATGCTACCAGAACACCTGAGTTGAACAAAGAACTTGACAAGAACTTATATTTAGATTTTGCCATCACCTGGAAAACAAGAAAATAATCATTATATATATATATATATATATATATATATAATGATCATTATATACCTATATATATATATATATATATATATATTTATATATCGGTATATAATGATCATTCACAGTTAATTAATTAATGTACAATACAAATGCAACATTGTATAAATTCATTGTGTTTAGCGGGTGGCTCAGTTGGTAGAACCACTGCTTCTCAGCGAGAAGGTCGCCAGTTCAAATCCTGGCCCTGGACCTTTCTGGGTGGAGTCTGCATGTTCTCTGCATGCAATTTTTTTTCTCCGGGTACTCCAGTTTCCTCCCACAGACCAAAAACATGCATGTTAGACTGATTGGTAACTCTAAATTGTCCCTAGGTGAGAGAGAGAGAGAGAATGGTTGTTTGTCTTGTTTGTCTCTATGTGTCCCTGTGATGGACTGGAGACCTGTCCAGGTGTCCCCCTGCCTCTCGCACACTGACTGCTGGACACGGGCACCAGTGACCCCCGCAACCCAAAAAGGAAGAAGTAGGTAAAGGTAATGGATGGATGGATGGATGGATATTGTGTTTAGAGAAACAAAAATAATAAAATGGTTCAAACAGTACGGTGTACCTTCGCTGCAACTGCAGAGAAACTGATGGATTAAGGATTATTTAAACTTGGACATCATTTGAGAGCCACAGTGAGAATTTCAGACTGAAAAGATGAAACTCCTCCTTGAATCGCTTCCTGGTGGAGTAGTTTGTGTGCCTGAATGATCGTAGGAGCAATGCTGTTCGGGGTAATTGTCCCTGGTAGGGTATTTGGGGAGTGGTGGCGCAGAGGTTAGAGAAGGTGGGCCTGTGATCGGAAGATCGCCGGTTCAAGCCCCAGTACTGACAACATCAAAAAAATGTGGGTGGGGTAGGTGAAGCACCCACACCTGCTCCCACCCTGATTTGCCCCACTCTGGGCCCATGAGCAAGGCCCTTAACCCCCATCTGCTCCCTAAACAGGTCTCTCTTGAAAATGAGTTCTTGTGGCTCAATGAGACTACCAGGATAAATAAAGAGTAAATGAAAAAATAAATCCAAGGCAGATTGGTCCTAGGTAACAGCCCAGACCAAACAATTTCAACTGGGGTTCTGGAAGGTGATCCAGCTAGGTACTCCCTTATTCTGCTGGGGGACTTTAATGCCCACATGGGTAATGACAGTGCATGGAGGGGTGTAACTGGGAGGAAGGGCCTCTCTGATCTGAACACTGTTGTGGTGTTCTGTTGTTTGACTTCTGTGCTACTCATAGTTTGTACATCACGAACACCATGTTTGAACATATGATTGTTTATAAGTGCCCTTGGCACCAGGACGCCCTAGTCGATGGTTGACTTTGTAGTCATGTCATCTGATTTGCGGGTTGTGGATGAGGCATTGAGTCCAAGTGGGCCATGTTCCGTGCCTCCAGTGTTGAGGCAGCTGCCTTGAAATATGGCTGCAAGGTTGTTGGTGCTTCTCACGGAGGTGGACACTCCGGGTCATGGAGGCCTTCAAACTAACGGAGGATTCCTATTAGGCCTTGTTGGCTTATAGGACTCAGGAGACAGCTGAGGAGTATTGTCAAGCCAAGCAAGCTGCAATACTGACTGTTGCTGAGGCCAAAGCCCAGAAGTGGGAGAAGTTCAGTGAGGCTTTGGATAGAAACTTTCAGTTGGCTCCAAGGAGATTCTGGCAAACCTTCAAGTGGCTGAGGCCTCAGGATTCCATCACTGCTATTTGCAGATGATGTGGTCCTGTTCATGACATCCTGCTGTGACCTTCAGCTTTCACTGGAGTGGTTTGCAGCCAGGTGTGAAGCGGCTGGGATGAGGATCAGCACCTCCAAATCTGGGTTCATGGTCCTCGGTCGGAAAAGGGTGGATTGCCCTCTCCGGAGGTTGAGTGAGGTTCTGCCTCAAATGGAAGAGTTCAAGTATCTATGGGTTTTGTTCATGATAGAGTGAAGAATGGACTGTGAGATCGACAGATGGATCGATGCAGCATCTAGTATTGCAGACTCTGTGTTGATCCACTGTGGTGAAGAGGTGTAAGGAGAAGCTCTCTGTTTACCGGTCAGTCTACATTCCTACGCTCACTTATGGTCACAAACCCTGGGCAGTAACTGGAAAAAACAAGACTGCAGTTATAGGCAGCCAAAATGAGTTTTCTCCACAGGGTAGCTGCACCTTAGAGATAGGATGAGAAGTTCAGTTATACAGGAGCGACTCGGAGTAGAACCACTGCTCCCCCACATCAAGAGGAGTCAGGCATTTAATAAGGATGCTCCCACATCACCTCCCTTGGGAAGTGCTCATAGACCCCAAAGAAGACTCGTGGCTGGCCTGGGAATTCCTTTGAGTCCTCCAAGAAGAGCTGGAAGAAGTGACTGTAGGAAGACATGTCTGGGCCTCCCTGCTTAAGATGCTGCCCCTGTGACCCAACTTTAGAACAAGACGAAGATGATGGATGGATGGATGGATGGATGGATGGATGGATGGATGGATGGATGGATGGATGGATGGATGGATGGATGGATGGATGGATGGATGGATGGTTGGTTGGTTGGTTGGTTGGTTGGTTGGATGGATGAATGGATGGGTGGATGGATGAATGGATGGGTGGATGGATGGATGGATGGGTGGATGGATGAATGGATGGATGGATGGTTGGATGGATGGGTGGATGGGTGGATGGATGGATGGAAAACATGAAAGAAATAATCTTTTTTTACTTTTGCTGTGTAACTCTGAAAGTGTGTTCTATTTAGAACGTGTTTGTGTCCACCGTCTTTTGTAAGATTGTTTACAATCAAGGAAGATAAACATAAAAGCAACACAATCTTTCATTGTTGCCATAGCAACCAACAGCCCACATACTGACACATACACCAGACCAAACTTTTATTCTGAAAGCCAACATAGATTCACACCACTTTTGTCATCTGTTCTGTCTTTTGAAGGTTGGACATATATCTTTCACTGATTTTTGTTTTACCTTTGAGTTGAAGAGGTGGACTGTCCGTTTAGATCCGACATCTTCCTCAAAGCCGATGGTTGGTGCTTTGTTGAAACGTATCACTGCATCATGAGAGTCTGTGAAGAAAGAAACTTTCAGGGTTTTTCCTGAGACATATTTACAGTTTCTATGTCTGTAAATAACGAACAAAACTAGAACACAGAAGCTTCAGGAGGTAATTTGATGTTTTGGCTCTTAAACCAGTCACTAGGGAGCACAAGCCAGTGTATCTCTGGTTCTGGTCCCAAGTCCAAGTAAACGGTGAGGATTTTGTCAGGAAGGGCATCCGACGTAAAACAGTTTTGCCAAAAATATAATATGAGTTCATCAAAGCGACTCCATACCAGATCGGTCGAGGCCGATTGTTAACAACGATCACCACCGGTGCTGTTGACAGAGTGCTAGCAGAAATTGTGCTACTTTTAGTCAAAGACCACGAGGAGGGAATTGTGTCAGGAGACAGATAGAAAAGAGTAAATTTAAGAATGTAGGACTGAGGGTTGCAACTCTACATGTGGAGACAATGACAGGCAAAGGTAGAGAGCTGTCTGACATGATGCTGAGAAGGAAGGTAGATGTTTTCTTTCCAAGAGACCAAGTGGAAGGGCAGCAAGGCTTGCAGCATTGGAGCAGGGTTTAATCTGTTTTACCATGGTGTGGATAGAAAGAGGAATGGAGTAGGGGTGGTCCTGAAGGAGGAGTTGGCAAAGAATGTAGTAGAGGTGAAGAGAGTGTCAGATAGGGTGATGTGCCTGAAGGTAGAAGTAGAAGGTCTGATGCTAAACATCATCAGTGGTTATGCTACACAGGTTGGATGTGATGAGGAGGAGAAAGATACATTTTGGAAAGATCTGGATGAAGTGATAGAGAGTATTCCCAGGGAGGAGAGAGTGGTGATGGGAGAAGACCTGAATGGACATGTTGGTGAAGGAAACAGAGGGGATGAGGAAGTGATGGGTAGGTTTGGTATCAAGGAAAGAAACCAGGAAGGACAGATGGTGGTGGATTTTGCCAAGAGAATGAAAAAGACTTTAGTCAACACTTATTTCCAAAAGAGGGAGGAACATAGAATGTCCTATAAGAGCGGAGGCAGGAGTACACAGTTAGGCTACATTCTGTGTAGAAGAGGAAACCTGAGGGAGATTGGAGACTATAAGGATGTGGCAGGGGAGAGCGTCACCAGACAGCATTGGATGGTTATGTGTTGAATGACTGTTGTTGTGAAGAAAAGAAGAGTCAAATATTTCAGGAACAGGGTTTTTGGATTCAAAACTCAGCCAGACAACAAGAGTGTAAAACTACAAAAAACGATTTATTGATTTGCATCAGCAGTTGGGAGTCAGGATCCAGCTACAGGGACAGTCTTCACAGGCATATTGGGTGGGAGCCATGAGTTGAAGTAGAATAGATGACATCACTGCAACCAGAGGGAGAATTGGTGCAGAGGGAGGCTTTAATGCTGTGAAGAGTGGGGTAACCCTGGGTTGTGGTCCAAAAGACGAAGCAGCGGTCAAGCACGGGGAGACAGAATCAATAACAAGTCCAAAGAGTCAAACCAGAATAAGAAATCCATAGACAGAAGAAATAGATGAAACCAGGGTCAGATGGGCAGAACACAGTCAGACGAGGAGCAGGCAGAGCGGCAAATCCTAATAACGAGGCGTAAGGTCGAAATCCAAAAAGCAAGGCTTGAAGTCAAGACGAGATGTCAGGCGTGAAACAACATGACTGGAAATCAGAAACCAGGAAAGGTAAGATAATCTGGCAGATTGGAGCGATCAGAGTTTAATTTAGCCAAGTAAGAAACAAAAATCTGCACTAAATATTTTACCTATCTCTTTTCCCAGTCCAGATTTGAGGAGCGACCCTGCTGATGACACCACAGCGCAGGTCTTGTATGGTCCAACGTCAGAGGTCAGCTGCCGGTGAGGCAGCTGAGTGGCCCAGGGCAACGATGAGAAAGGCTCGAAGTCAAAGGTCAAAGTTGTGAGCTCAACCTTTTTCTTAAGTTTGCAGAGAAGCTCAGGACCGGTCAGCTTTGGCCTGCCAAAGACATCGACGGGGCCGGACAACTTTACTCCATAATTATTCATTGTCTGCCAGAAAGAACACAAGTCAACCAACACAACGAAACAAATGGCTCTGGATTCAGAATAATTTACATACCCGGGTTCTGGCAGTGCCTCTTACCTGGTAGTAGTCCCAATCCTTCTTCATTGAGTGATCCAGCATGCTGCTAGACATCTCATCGTCCCACACCTTATCTTTCAGCTCCTCACCCACCCTGTCACGATGGTGCATGTAGTTTGTATCCTTTGCTCTTCCACCTAGCTTCTGCTCTTCATGCCAAACCTTTTTCCCTCTCAGCCTCTTTTTGCTTCTCAGCTCATCATATCTGCTTTGCTGTGTTTTGCTTCTCCCCACCTGGTTTTCCTTCAGCTCCTCACTTTTGTTCATCTCTTTTTTGCCACTCGGCTCTTCACTTCTGTTCAGCTCCTTTTGTTCATTCAGCTCCTTTGTTCCGCTCTGCTCATTTTTGCCGTTCAGTTCCCTGTCTCTGATCAGCTCCGATTTGATACGTTTCCTTCTTTTCCCGATGAGCTTCTTTTTGACACTCGGCTCTTCTTTTTCACTCAGCTTCTTGTTGCTACTCTGCTCCTCCTTTCCATTCAGTTCCTCCTGACCAAACCGCTCCTCTTTTTGAGTCAGCTCCTCTTTGTCCCTCACCTCTTCAGTTCCAGCCTGCCAGTTTCCAAACATAATCACGAAAGCTGGGATGAAGGAGTGTGGCAGCCTTGCAGCAAAAGGCTCGTGGAGCTTTAATTCTGTTCCTGGCTTCGGCAGAGAGCCCAAGTCTTTCAGGGTTGGATTCAGCGATGAGAGGACGAGGACTGGTTGATGATGGTCACCTAGAATGACTTGTGGGTTCTTCTGAGGATCAGTGAGCAGCGGTTTGTCTCTGCCTTGAAGCACCTGAGAGGGTCACAGCAATGACACGTTTGAAAGCTTAATTTTTATTTAATGGTTCTGTGATCGTTGAAAGCACAATATTTTAACGTTTTGTCTGGCTTGAATTTGTCCTCAAACTCATTTGCATTCCACATATTAATATTACCAAAGTGTTTTCATTAGAACAGAATACAAAATGCAAATGACACTTTAATTAATATACATGGTGGGAGGCAGATGACAGGAGCAGGAAACTCTTCAAATCTCAAGAGTTCATGTTGCAGCGTGGTTAACAGGTGGTATCTTCCATGTGTGCACCAAACAGTCTAGTGTTAAATAATTATATTTAAAAAAAACTTTCAGGGGCAAATCATTTGTCTTTTTCATAAAATATCAATATGTTTTGGTGATAATAGATTAAAAAAGTGACAGAGCTTTATTAGCATTAAAAACACAACCTTCTGATCAGATACTTGAAACAGGATAAACACTGCAATCGAAGCTCAAGTGTCGTGATTATCAAAGTTAACTTATGTTACTCAAATTCACCGTGCACAACAAGAGCCTGCGTGGAGTCAGACGTCTGCGAGTGTTATGAAACTTTGTGCAGATAAAGGTCTGTTCAAGAGTGGAATGTCTCAATATCGCTACAGTAAGAACCGCATCAAACAAGAGAGGTGAAAATACAGATTAAACACACTGCATGATGACGAAGACGCACAAAAATATTTTACTCTATAATCATCCAGGAGCTCACAATCAGTTTTTGAGCAAATCTGGATTTATTTTTTGTTCATGTCAAGTTAATTTCATATTACTGCATGTGAGTGTTGCCTTTAAAGTACCGGTACACATTATCTCTTACTACCAACCTGGAGATAACAAATGCAAGTTGTTGTTTTTGTTTGCTGCCTTCAGGGAGAGACATCCAGAATGTACGACTTTGCACATCATGTAAAACCATCTTATGATAGTCTCAATCAATCTTTCAGCTGTTGATCTTTTTGACTGACAGATAGAACTGATCTTTGAGTCCTTTTGATCACAATGCCACTTCTTGAAAAAAAACCACAGACCAAAAACATGCATGTTAGACTGACTGGTAACTCTATTGTCCCGAGGTGAGAGAGAGAGAGTGAATGGTTGTTTGTCTCTACAGTATGTGACCCTGTGATGGACTGGAGACCTGTCCAGGTGACCCTGTGATGG